GACATCCGATACTGCTCGAAAACACCTCTGTTACATTTTATCGAGATCTGTTCAGATTAGGATATAGCTTTTATATATCCTGCTGTCTGTAGTAATTGCCAAAATTCAATCCAAATGGTTAATATAAGCCAGATTAATTGGATTTTGGCAATTACGACAGAATTCCTATTAGAAACATTACTTTAAATTTGGTGTAAATTTTATCCAATTTGGGGTTTAAAGTCCTCACAAGGGTAATATGCATTCCACAAGAATGCTATTTGGTACCAGACACAGCTCTGAAATAAGTGTATCAAATTTTGTCAGGAAACAGCCCTTCGGGTTAATTGTGCACTAAATACCAGTACATGTCCAAATGACCTGCATTTTGGCACATCGACCGACTTCAGTCTAGAAGCAAGTACACAATTACAATTCGGTGTAAATCGATTCAGATATAGCTCGCATACATATGCTTTATCCGATTTGGGGTTTAAATTCCCTCACAAGCGTAATATGCATTCATTGATATTTGATACCGGACACCAGATACAGCTCTGAAATAAGCCCAAATGGATTGAATTTTGGGACGTACGTTTCCATTTTGTGGAACTCGGTTCCAATATATATATATATATGTATTGTATATGTGTATATATATATATATATATATATATATATATATATATTAAAATATACATATATATATATATATATATATATATATATATATATATATATATATATATATATATATATATGTATATTTTAATATAATCCTTATCTAGTGCAATGTTATTTGGTATAAAAGATAAAAATGTCTCCGTAAAATTAAGTGAAAATCGATTCTGAGTTGTATCTACCTCCAATGTATTAGTTACCTCTGAATCCAATCTATAACTGCTTAAAAGCGGAATGTTGATAGGTGATATGATCTACTTCAAATTAATTATTTTGTTACGGTTGATTTACTAAATATGCATAGTGGTGTAGGCTATCATACACTCGGTCCCGCCCGACTTTTAACTTTACCCTTCTGGTTTTTTAAGATAGCCCTTTTTTGCCCTAAAGAAGTCATTCAAAGTTCCACGAAGATAATCTGAAAGAGATAGCGGTGGAGGAAGAAACGAATTAATTTTTGAAAAGAATGTACGACTATGTTTCGGATTATTGTCGTGTTACAAAACAAAGATTGAGTTCGCAGATGGGCAATATCCGATCCTTTATTTTGGTCTATGTTGAAGTAAGTGAGAAAATTGAATAAAACAGTATACTCTTTCTGGTACTTCTCCACAAAACTTCAAATTTTAGATAAATCATGCGCATCATTTATATAGAAAGAATCATGCAGACAATTTTCGCATCTTTTTTCAAAAGGACAAAAGCAATATTTATGTTAAGTCCCCCAAAAAGGGTATACACGGTCAAATAAGTGGTCATATGCTGAGGTGATATATCCTTCGGATAACCGACTGCATCTTTGTAATTTGTTAGTTGTTTTTTTTTTTTTTTAATAAGTAAACTCATGTCACAGCATCCATTGAGGCACATTGCAGGCAGTGTTATTTATTGCTCCATTAAATTAGAAATTATTATCGTTATATTTCATAATTTATACAATATCATAATTTTAACGTTAAATATTTATATATAGATTTATTAGATAATATATATTTATTATTACATATTTTTGATTATTTACATTTTATCAACGGCCAGGTTACCAACAATTGCCATTGTCATGAAAAAAGGGTTATCTTGTCTACATATGGCCATATTTTATAGGCTTATCAATTAAATCTGGAATATTGAAAATTTTTAAATAAGGTCAATGACTTTTGCGTCAAATCCTCTATGTATCTAAGGACTACTGTAACCTTTATGCAAATTTCTCGGTCGTTGATAGGTTATGTTAAGAGCTTTCTTGTTTTACTAGCGAAGAAAATGTCCTTTCTACAGTGCTCTATATGTACAATCTTCACTCACATTGGCTCCTGTCTTATCTTGTAGCTATTCTATCCTTTCATTCCATTGCTTGATTATATGCAAAATAGTTTCCTTTAATACAATGCAATACTTGTTTACTTACGTGACTACCATAAATCTAGGTTTAGATACTTTAACAACAAAGTTAAATTAGCTATTTATGCTGGAAATTATTTGAAATAAATTTAAAGTGCGTTTTGTTCATTTACAGTCCATCCATGTCGGTTGGTTGGTAGCTTGGTTGCCTTTGCGTGTTCAGCCTGACCGGGTGAAAGTATTAAATACAGTTGTTTAGTTTGTCCTCCTTTTTTCCTATATGTGTTTGTGTGTGTGTATTTACTATGTATATATTTATGTTTGCAGGTATTTACATTGCAATATGTTCACTTTTGGGATCCCCATCAACACAAGAGGGGACCACCGATTACTAGACTGAGGAAAGGCTTTTAACAAGTAATTATTGTTTGGCTATATTGGTCTGTTTCTTGTTATTGTGTCTTTGTCTATGTCTTTGTATCAGTGTGTCTGTGTGAGTTTTGTATTTATTATAGCATATTTCCAATAGTCTTCGTCATAACTCACTAGGGATGTTAGGGTAGGGTTATTATTATTATTTGCTGTATAATAATTAGTTGCATTGAAATACGTTGGCGAAGATTAAACGGAGGAGAAGGAGAGTGGGGGTTATCAGTAGAAGTATTTGTTTTAGTAGTATTTTGGCCACTTTTCTTTTACTTTTAACTATTTTATTTACAAGCTGTTTATTATTGTTTTTTGTTTTTCTCTTTTCTTTTGCTAACGCCTTTTTTGTAATGCCATTAATGTGGTTAGTGTAACCTCGTTAATTTGGTCAACAACAATAAATGAATGAAAAACAACAACAAAAAACTGGTTATCCTAACCAATTATCATTTCAGCACGATGTCAGCAGCATTCACGTCACGTTGTTGCCGCAAAACGGCATTGTTGTAGTTCTGCCATTATATGGCATATTTTTTGCAGGCATAAATTATCAGCGAATTGATGTTTAACAAATGATTTATGTTTGCAGAAGGATGTGTAAGAAATTATAAATTATAAAAAATTAAAATTATGGGAGGGGAATAATTTTGGAAAGTGTGTGAGAGTTCTTGTGATGTTTGGGGGGAGGGAGATATGTACGATTTTAGGGATATGAGTTGATATGTGTTTATTTAATCGATTTAATTTAAGAAAATTTTCAATATCAGACCACAAGATTACCTAAACTCTTCTAAATGGTGAAGGGAGGGTTTGAATTCCAAGGTTGAAGTATTTATGACACTTAAAATGGTAAGGCGATTAAAATACTTTTTTTTTTTGGCAAAAAGTAATAAGAAAGTCCCTTTTGAATCCGTACATGACTCGAATTATCAGTCAGTGTAGGCTACCAGAGAGGAGTCTTTATTTCCAAGGTTGAAGCAGTTATTAAACGTAAAATGGAAAGACGACTAACGGGAATATTTTTTGAAATACTTTTTTTTTGGCAAACATTAATAAGAAAATCCAAACATTAATAAGATGATTACAATTATCAGGCAATTTAGGCTACCAGAGGGGAGACTTTAATCGGAAGCACTAGAGAGATTTTGGAAACGACGACGGGTGAGATGAAATAACTGCAACCAGTTTCAGACTGCTGTCATTTCTAAGCCACTAGTCCGACAGCTGTTTATATTATTGCAGTGACAACGTATTATGTTGTTCACGAGCGTACAAAAGCATTTTGGTGAGAATTTTAGAGAAAAAAAGTTATTCGTGATGGAATTCAAGCGTGATAATATGATTTCTTTATATTTGGCTGGAAAACCACAAGTGGTTATCCAGCATTTAAATGTAAATAAATCTTTTGTGTCTCGTACCATCACTCGTTTCCGTGATACTGACCGTGATTTCGAGGCCCGACGTCAAGGAAGTGGACGGAAGAAAACAGCAACATCAGCAGAAATGATTAGATAAGTAAAGAAGCGACTTGATCGAAACCCAGTGGTCCAAAAGTGCAAGAACTTACACCGCAACAGAAAAAAAAAAATAGACTCAAAAGAGTTGCTTCGCTTGGTCGAAAGTGCTGAACTGCCGAATTTGGTTTTCTACATCTCCGATGAGAAAACATTCGTTGCCAAAGAGGTCAGCTGAAAATGTTCACCTTTGGTTGGCCACCAGAACTCAAGCGGTCATGGTGATGGTGTGAGTCGCCATAATAGTAATGAAATGAGGTTCCTCGGTTTATTTCCAGCGCACAATAGCCACCAATTCGTTCGACTATTGTGTCTGGAGTATTTCGGAAAGCAATGTTTTCACTAAAAAAATACAAAAGTGTCGATCACCTGAAGCAAGCGCTTCGCCAGGAATGGGCCAAAATACCGCAGAGCAACATTTGGACAGCGTGTGACGGTTTCATTCGCCGTTTGAAGGCCATAATTCGTGTCAAAGATGATCAATTCGAACATATCTAAACTTATTCTAAAATTGGATGCTACTTCCGAAATTTATTGCTTTCATCCAATAAAATTTAGAAAAAATGTAAAAATTATGGCGTATGACTTTGTTGCATTTTTTTATCTCAACCTGTTATTCTATTCTAAAGGATCTAAAGGATCTTCCTTCTAGAGGCCAGCTTTTATGAAAGACCAGAAGTCTTTTTTTAAACATCAAAAAAAGTCGGTTTTGAATCAATGAAGCAATCATAAATGACGAAGGCAATATGGAATCACTCATTCGTCTAGAAACTGGTGTATTGAACTATGAACTAGTAAAACGGACCAACTTTGCACATAACTCTCACCTGTAGTAGGTCCTTATAGCCGAGAACTTGGAAATTTTAAACGACGTTAACTCAGCAGTCTTTCTTACATTTAAGGGATTTTTGTTGGATAACCAAACAGAAGGTCTTATAAAATATGACATCAGGTCTTATAGAATAAGAACAAGAAATAGAACAAGACCTCAGGTCTTACAGGATAGAACCTTAGGTATTATAGAATAAGACCTCAAATATATCTTGTGGTATGGGAACTTTCAATTAAATCCCTTAAACTTTTTAGTTTGATTTATATATGAAAATTAGGGGTGTATATGTCTCTGTGTCTGATATGTGTATCCTTTTTCTGCATGTGACTGTGTGATATGTATTATTTGCATTATTGTCAATTTCAACATTTTAAAGGAGAGGGATAAGGGGAGGGGTTTCTGTAATTCATAAACAGCAAGACTTTGCGGTCGTACTCAGATAGCTAATGTGACATGCTGCCATCCATCACAATTAACTTGACATCCTTTGTATTTTGAAACAAAAAGTAAAATGAATTGAATTGAATTAAATTAGTCTCCTGCTGGTGTTCGATATTATAACCGGATATGGCTGTCAATACCATGACACTTTTACGCCGTCCATCTTAGGAACATCCACGCAAAGCCACTGCAGTAGACAATTAAGTACAGTGGGGGTTTCGCTGTCCAGGCTGAAAGGTGATAAGAGATATACAAGGAAAATGTTGGGTAATTTTTAATGAGCTAATAAAAGTTAAAATTTATAAAAACAAAAAATTCTAAACAAACGAAATTTAATTTTGTATATTAATAAAATTTTTCATTTTCTGCTTAATATATTTTGTTCTAATATAAAATCTTCATTTACCTGATGAATCTTCTAGGTGATTGGGTGGAAGCTCAGTATAAGACATACTCTTTCCTATCGCCAGCAGTCCCTTGCGTTCCACAGAACTACTGGATGATCCATAGATTTGTAGATTATTTCCCGTCAATGACGGCACCAGCGCTGTTGCACCCTGCAAAGCTGGAGATGTGGAATCACTCGTCCCGAGTAATTCATTTTTCAGCGAATGCACATCCGTTTGTAATGACTTGAGAGAATCATTACGAATCGGTATGATATTGTCTATGGGAAAAAAGAGAAAAATATTGAAACAATTATAGAAAAGTAATATATATATTTTTTTAAATAAAATGAAATATTTAAACAAGGTACTTACTTTCTCTCGTATCTATTGTAGAATGCGTCACCTGCTTTGAAGGCGTTGATGGCAGCGGAATTTCTGAAAGAGAAATACATTAAAGTGTGAAATTAGCTAATAATTGGGAATTAAGCTGCGTGAACTTTTAGGGAAAATACGTTTAAAGAAAAATTATTCATATTTATATATCAGAATATCATATTTGATCCGGGTGTTATGTATTATATGAAAATGATCCTATAGTGTAGGTACATATTTTTGAGATAGGCAAAAAAGGAAAAATGACCAGGTCAATTTTTGAATACCCTCCACCATTCGAAGATATTTGCAAATTTTCAAAAGATTCCGATGAAAAATACTGTTAAAATTATAAAAATGTCGAATGCCGTTATATTGCGGCCGATTCGAAGGTTTGCAAGGCAATTTTCTATCATAGACTTAGGAACTTCAAATACCAAATTTTAAACAATTCCGGTGAATAATTTCGCTAATATCATCAAAATACCGATCATTGAGTGGTACCGTTATCTGGGGGCTACACAAAGTCCCGGACCTATATATGTAATTTTGTGTATTATACAACTCCGGGTCTCTGTACTCATTAGGAAATTTAAATTCCAAATTTGAAACACTTTCGGTGAAAAGTTTGACGCAAATCAACAAAACTTAGACCTATATAGTCCATTTTAAATAACAGAAGTCCTGCAGACTGAACACACGTCTAAATAAAATTTTATTAAGCTCCTTCATTTTGTTCGGAAGTTAGAGCTATTTCCACAGATGCATAGATATGCGAATGGACATCAATAAATCGACATACAGTTTTATGCCGGTCAAGTATATACATAATTTGTGGGGTCTAAAATTTACGTTTCGAGGTGTTACTAGGGTGGAGGTAATAAAAAAGAGCGGCATATAAATAAACATACGTATTGTCATTTACGTATGAAAGAGAATCAAAACCTTAAAAATGAAATATATGCGCAGCATCAGAGGAAAAAGTAGGAAATATTAGGTTAAAAATGACCCCATTAGACCTGACCTAGTAATGTATCCTCTAAATGTATTAAAAAAAGGTAAAATTGCACTCAATTCAGCAAAAAGTAAGACTCAAGTCAGAACTGGAAAATGTTTGCAAAAACCTCTTAACTTTTTGCAAAAACTTGACCAGATCAAATGAGATATTTCAACATTTTAACCAGATCTCAGATTATCTAGCTTGTGCTCTCAACTGAAACATATTTGGAAGCCGATTTGTTTAATCTCGACACTTTCGTTTTATGCGGGAGCGCTCGCGATTTAAATCTGTTGCAATAACTGAGCGGAGGTCAAAATACTTGAAGTAGAGTAAGAATAAATAATAAAGAGAGCAAAAACGTGTGGAGTTTGCTGATTTGTGTGTTCGTGCGTTGAAGTTGCTGTATGCTGGGAGGTTTGATCGTGTACAAAAGCTATAAAGAGAAAATCAGCAGAAGCAAAGCGCCGATTGAGTTTGGGTAGAAGAACAACAGGAACATCAACACTATCATATGAGAAAATACGCATAGGGTAAGTGTACCAGTAGTCGGCACTTTTAGGGTTTTCGCGTTTTTAATCGCTCATCATTCTGAGTGGAACATTTCAATTATTACAAAGTTAATTTATTCAGATTCGAAATTTTGTATAGTTTTTGCAATAATAAATAAGGTTTTAATAACTTTTTATTAAATTTCATAAATTTGTAGTTTTATTAAAACAATCCAGTAGACGCACCAATTGCCAATTATCGGTATGGCATTTTCCAACAGTCAACATACCATTTTTTGTAAGAATAATTAATAATAATAATAAATTAATTCATTAAAATATAATATTTTTGTTTAGTTAAACTGATTCGACGTCTTTATTGTACTTTTCTTAAGAATATGAATTGTTGAGGACCTTCACAGACAAAAATTTAATTTTTATTAGAATAATTCATCTTTTCTTAGCGAAATTGTGCACAAAGATAGCTGACAATATATTTGAAGTAAACAAAATACATTTAGGCTTATCCCTTTATTGTTGTTTTTATAAAAACAACGTTTGTTTATTAGTGGAGAACGATGGTAATGTTTACCAGGGGGTAAGGCAGAGAATACCTAGGTTTCGGAAAGAGCCACCAATCCTCATCAGTTCCCTTGTTTTTTGTCTGGGATATTCTCCCCAGAAGTTATTTTAAAAATAACTTCTATGACAAAAAACATTTTTTACCCAAGTGACGAGATCGTAAGCTCAATAGAAGAGGAACCAAAGAATTAAATAAAACTAAAATTCTTTTGGAAAGTCTTAAAAATCTTACAACCGCACTTATAAACATTTTCATCTTTCTCCACTTGTTATGCTTTCGTTCAACCTAAACGAAGTAGCATAACTATGTAAGTTGGTTTTGTCTGTTACAACAAAAACCCCTTCGTCGACCGTGCCTTGTCTATAAGTAGAACAGTGTGACTTGTTTGTTCGGGATACCGTAGTATTTTGTTGTTGCAAAATGGTCAGGCTTATCCCTTTATTGTTGTTTTTATAAAAACAACGTTTGTTTATTAGTGGAGAACGATGGTAATGTTTACCAGGGGGTAAGGCGGGGAATACCTAGGTTTCGGAAAGAGCCACCAATCCTCATCAGTTCCCTTGTTTTTTGTCTGGGATATTCTCCCCAGAAGAGACTTTCCAAAAGAATTTTAGTTTTATTTAATTCTTTGGTTCCTCTTCTATTGAGCTTACGATCTCGTCACTTGGGTAAAAAATGTTTTTTGTCATAGAAGTTATTTTTAAAATAAATTCTGGGGAGAATATCCCAGACAAAAAACAAGGGAACTGATGAGGATTGGTGGCTCTTTCCGAAACCTAGGTATTCCCTGCCTTACCCCCTGGTAAACATTACCATCGTTCTCCACTAATAAACAAACGTTGTTTTTATAAAAACAACAATAAAGGGATAAGCCTGACCATTTTGCAACAACAAAATACTACGGTATCCCGAACAAACAAGTCACACTGTTCTACTTATAGACAAGGCACGGTCGACGAAGGGGTTTTTGTTGTAACAGACAAAACCAACTTACATAGTTATGCTACTTCGTTTAGGTTGAACGAAAGCATAACAAGTGGAGAAAGATGAAAATGTTTATAAGTGCGGTTGTAAGATTTTTAAGACTTTCCAAAAGAATTTTAGTTTTATTTAATTCTTTGGTTCCTCTTCTATTGAGCTTACGATCTCGTCACTTGGGTAAAAAATGTTTTTTGTCATAGAAGTTATTTTTAAAATAACTTCTGGGGAGAATATCCCAGACAAAAACCAAGGGAACTGATGAGGATTGGTGGCTCTTTCCGAAACCTAGGTATTCCCTGCCTTACCCCCTGGTAAACATTACCATCGTTCTCCACTAATAAACAAACGTTGTTTTTATAAAAACAACAATAAAGGGATAAGCCTGACCATTTTGCAACAACAAAATACTACGGTATCCCGAACAAACAAGTCACACTGTTCTACAAAATACATTTAGTTATAATAGTTTCATTTATTTGGGCTTAAAAAAAAGTGCCGCCTACTGGGACATGCCGAACTTAGGCACACTTACCCTACATATAGACAAAAAACAAAACAATACTCTTTAAGATTAGAATCTGATCGATTTACGGGTGAAATCTACCCTCACTCGAAAACGAGCAAGTATACTCCCTCTTTTCGAGTAGCCCAAAAAAATAAAATATATTAAATTTCTGTTTTTTTTTTTCTCGCAAAAGTACTCCCTCTCGAATTCTAGGTTCATATTAGCACCCTAAATATGTAGCGACGTTATAGAACAAAATTAAGATTGTCATCGCCTTATATTCGATTATTTATACCCTAAGAAATATTTCAAATATATTGAAGATCCTTGATATTTTCTCGAAATCTATTTCAGGAATTTCGAAGCAGTTCTATCGATGTCCGCCCATCTTACTAAGGCGCAACATAACTCTTGCAGGGAGTATTTAATATAAACCTTGTACGTTGTAATAATTCGATGAAACGTAGAATATGTTGGCCCTCTCCTACTTGTACAACCAACACAAATGTAATAGAAAGTCCATTTTTTCCAATTTTTTTTATTCACAAAAATAATGGTCAATTTCACACTCTAAACATTATCCGATAATCATCCAAATTGATAGGCTTCTGCCCAGTACCAAACTATAACCCCGTGCAGTGTTGACATATTTATAATTGTGGCCTGTGGAGCAACTGTAAAATCAGCATTTTTTTTTCGTTTTCAGTCCATATCATCCCTGTGCTATACTAAAACGTTGACCTATATAGAACATTTTCTTCAGGGGGATAAAGTACTCACAGAGAACTCCTTGTGTAGCATTTCAGACAATGCCATTGAAAAATGTGACTAAAATCAGCAAACTACCGAATGTCTGGAGGTACAGTTATATGGGGGATATACGATATCGTGGACCTATATAGACAATTGTCTTTTAGGGGGCTAAGTACTTTCAGAAAACTCTTTGTGGAGAATTTCAGACAATTCCATTAAAGAATGTGGCTAAAATCATTAAAATACCTAATATTGGGGGTTCGGTTATATGAGGGCTATACGACATTGCCCATCTTCGAACTTGACCTGCCTTCAGACAAAACATAGATCGGTGCCAAAGTTTAGCTTCCTATCTTTATTCGTTTCGACTCTAGCGTGAGTACAACAGACGGACGGATGTGCAGGACTAAATCGTATTAGAATTTATTCTGATAAAGTTGTTAGGTCTAAACTTATTATTTCGATGAGTGGAGGGTATAAATATATTTTTTCAAAGACTTCAAAACTTTTTTTTTAATTTGTAACAAAAAATCTTAAATTTCTTTTAAAAAACAATTTTAACATCTTTAGTATTAATATACTGTAGTTTTGTTAGAATATGAATATCAACAAGTTTCTTCTAACCAAAAATCGTGAATTTTCTTGGGAGCGCAAATCTTCTATTATCGTGATATACAGTTCTGATTTTTTATACCCTCCACCATACATAGTATGGGGGGTATATTAAGTTCATCATTCCATTGGTAACTCATCGAAATAATAATTTTTGACCCAACAAAGTATATATATTCTTGATCAGCGTAAAATTCGAAGACGATTTAGCAATGTCAGTCCGTCGTTATGTCCCTCGTTGTAATCACGCTACAGAAAAAACACATAAAGGTAGAAAGCTAAAATTGTGCACAGATAAGTATTTTGTCTGCAGTCAGGTCAAGTTCCCCGATATTCGGTATTTTTATGATTTTAGCCACATTTTTAAATGAAATTGTTTAAAAATCCACAAAAGTAGTTCCTTCTGAGTACTTTACCCCTTTGAAGAGTATTGTCTATATAGGTCCACGATATCGTATATCGCCCATATAGGGGTACCTCCTTATATTCGGCATTTTGATGATTTTAGCTAAATTTTTCAATGGAATTGTCTAAAAATCCATACTAGAAGTTATTTTTAAGCGTTTTACCCCCACGATATCGTATAGCCCACATACAACTGTACCCCCCATATTCGATATTTTGACGATTTTTGGGATATTATCTACCGTAGTTGTATCAAATTCTCCTTTAAAATTTAGACTATGACAGAAAATTGTCTATGCAGGTCCACGTGTTCCTATTGGCCCCATATATCAGCACCTCCCTATATTCGGCATTTTCATGATTTCAGTTACAATATTCACAAATATTGTTCGGAATTTCGTATTTCAAGTTCCTAACAGGTACTACAGCCTGTGACAGAAAATTGTCTACACAGCTCTAGGACTTCGTATAGTCCCGAAATAACGGTACTTCCCAATATTCGGTATTTTTGATGATATTGGCGACATTATTCATCGGATTTGTTTCGAATTTCGTATTTGGAGTTCGTAATAGGATATATAGTCTATGACAGAAAATTGACTATGCAAGTCCATGTCTTCGTATAGAAACCAATACAAAGGCTATATTCGGTATTTTTCATAATTTAACAGAAATTTTTACGGATTTTATTTTTGTTGAAATATTCTAACTTCGTTCCAAATAGTGGAGGGTATCAAAAGTTCGGCCCGGCAGAAGTTGCTGTTTTTTTACTTGCTAAAGACCAAGTTTTTCTGGATACCTTCCCACCATTTGGGAGAATTACTTAGCAAAAATCGTGAATTTGTATATATGATCACATGCTGAGATTACATATCTATAGGCAAATAGACTAATATGGATTTTTTTCCAATTTTCATTTCCAATTTTTTTGTTTTTCATGAGTCTATGAAAAATAGCAAGAAAATTTGTTGCAACTTACCGTACACTCGTATTGATCCTTCTGTTTCTCCCAGAGAATTTTTGGATATACATCGATAGTTTCCAAAGTCGCCATATTGGAGATTTCTTATTGTCAGTTTCATGTGGGCTCTAAAGTAGCAGAGAAAAAAGGCAAATTGAAAACATCAAAATCATCAAAAGAATTTAAATCTTTAAGTGATAAAACAGGGGTAAGCTTGTGTGACCTCATTACACATTCAACATTGCTTCACATTATGAAATGTCAAAGGAGTCTATTTAAATTATTTACATATAAATATTTTCCACGTAATGTTAATTAATACCGCTTAAGAGATTTAATAGTTTACCTAAAGCTCACTCCACTTTGATGTGGAAATATTCAACAATTTAAACGGTTATAATATTCAAATAAATTAGAAAATGTTTTCCCCCATCGCCTTGTAAGCCAACACGTGACTTGGCTGTGAGACCTCTCTTCCTTCCCTTCACTCAAGAGTTTTTCCAATTTAATTAAGCAGGAATTGTTCTCGTTACGCGGTTTCCATGAATTTCAATTTAAATAATTGTCATTAAATTCATTAACTGAAAAACTTTAATGAGTGACAAGCGTGTTTATTGGCCTGAAATTTATGTTTAGTTTCAAACTTTGTGTGCAACTATTTAAAAAGTCCTTAAATATTTCCTAAGAATTTACATCTTCTTTTTGGCAAATTTTTATGTCATCCATTCCTAGCTACTTTTGGGCTCCTTCTCCACCTCTGTCTTCTTCTGCGTTCTGGCAATTTTTCATTTCCTTGTGGATGGAAACAAAAATAACAACAAAAAAGTAAACTTTAAAAAGTCTCTTAAGACATCTTTGACAGTTTTTGTTCGACTCTAGACTATTTGCCATAAATAATGTTTTACCGTTGTTCGACACATAGATACAAACGTACGAGTATATAGGTGTGTGTGTGCGTGCGTGTGTTTGTACACACAAGAAAATTGCTGAAGCCGAAATTATAAAGACATAGGATTCTGAGTCTGTCTTTCTCTTCATGTGTGATATCAAAGTTATCAATTCACATTTGATGCATATTGTTTTTGTCGTTGTTGTTGCTGTTGCATACATACTTATAAAATTCACACTATAATAGACTTTGATAGAGTGGATGAACAGCCAAAGGTCATTGGATTAATACCCATTAATTCAAATCTTTAGGTTCTATTATTATATTGTAATAAATTAGCAAATATCAATAAAGTTATATTTAAGCAGTGTCAACCTCTTGATGCTCCCTTGGTATTTGACCTTAAAAATTCTAAAACCTAGAATAGAAGAGGTCAGAGCTGAAGCGATGCTTGATAGACATATAAAAAAGTTAAATAGTATAAGTTTATATTGCCGACAGGTGTTTACCCCCAGCCATGAGATATAAATATTCCCACTCTCGTCCCTTTATGGGGGAGGTACCAGAATAAATAGTCCGATCTCTTTCATCTTAATACCAGATCTTATGTTGATGGAAGTGTTGAGAAGTACCAAGTCTGAATGGGATCAGATGTTAATTTCGCGACTTATGAGCTTCATGGGCATTCAAAATATTGACTTTTTGTGTAGAAGCTACCGGAAGGAGGGCACCGATATATTCACAGCAGATCTTATTTGAAGAGGACTGGATAATTATTTCGGATTTTATGATCGTTTTGATTATTCATAGTTTTGACTCATTGTGGGGGTGGTACCAGAAGAAATGGTCCTATCTCTACCATTTTTAAAACAGATATTGTGTTGCTGGAAATATTGAGACGTACCAAGTCTGAATGGAATCGGATGTTAATTTCGTGTTTTTATACCCTCCACCATACATAGTATTTAGGGTATATTAAGTTCGTCATTCCGTTTGTAACTCATCGAAATAATCATTTTAGACCCAACAAAGTATATATTCTTGATCAGCGTAAAATTCTAAGACGATTTAGCCATGTCCGTTCGTCTGTCCGTCTGTTGTAATCACGCTACAGTCTAAACGAATTAAGATAGAAATCTAAAAATGCACAGATCCCTCTTTGGTCTGCATGCAGGTCAAGTTCGAAGATGGGCTATATCGGTCCACAATATCGTATAGCCCCCATATAACGGTACCCCCCCCCCCCCCCTTCTTAAGTATTTTGATGATTTAAGCCACATTTTCTAATGAAATGGTCTGCAAATCCACACAAGAAGTTCCTTGTGGGTACTTTATCCCTTGGAAGAGAATTATCTATATAGGTCCACGATATCGTATAGTCCCCATATAACGGTACCCCCGATATTCGTTATTTTGATGATTTTAGTTACATTTTTCAACGGAATTGTCCGAAATTGTACACAAGAGGTTCTTTGTGAGCAGTTTACCCCCTGACATATATAGGTTAACGATATCGTATATCCTCCATATAACGGTACCGCCGTTATTCGGTATTTTGATGATTTTAGCCATATTTTCCTATGGTATTGTCTGAAAATCCACACAAGGAGTTCTTTGTGAGCACTTTAACCCCTGAAAGAGAATTGTCTATATAGGTCCACAATATCGTATATCCCCCATATATCGGTACCTTAAAGATTTTAACAGAATTTTTAATGGATTTTATTTTTTGAAAATTTTCTAATTCGTTCCAAATGGTGCAGGGTATTCAAAGCTCGTGGGGATTATGACCCGGCACCGGGTATAATAACGATTTTAATTTAAACCTCATGCAACGTTACCCCAAATCATAATTCTATGTCCCGAAGACTGTACCTGGTACTCAAGCCTCTTTCATACATCAACTTCAAACTCTTGGGACAAGTTTTGTCAACTTTTGATAAAATGACTTTTGTTTATTAGTTTAAAATCCATGGGAGAATATTAGCAACTAATGTTCGTACGAATGGATGTAGTTGACTTAAGACATATTTAATATTTGTCCTCTTCTATTTAGTTAAATGGCTTCGTCCGTCTGTATGCCTGTCACACACACATGTCATGCATACCCTCCCCTCGTCACCGCCCCAAACTTAACTTAAGCACACTTTTGAATAGTAAATTGAAATGATTGTGACTTACCTGTAGGAATTCTCCGTATAGTCGGTTTTATACTTCTTACTTGGCAGGACCATAACCGAATTGTAAACCCAATAGATTATGGCTCTAGATGTTGGGTTTGGGGGTGACACAAGGTACGAGAAAACGAGAAAGAATATAAAATTGTTAAATAATTAAAAACTTTCCTCTCTCCGACTTGCCTGCGTTGGGAGGACATTTACGTCTCTCGCCTCCTCGAGAACACACAATAGACTTAATAAATGTCAACTTACTTGGGATGTGCTTCCGTATGGCAATCAATGGTAACATCAGTGCCAGCTGGAGCTCCAACAAGTTGATTCGGAACCCAAATCATTGGAGAAACTATTATGGCCAAAGGTGGGTGTGTGTGCGTTGAGGCAGCATATTGATGATGGTAAGGTAAAGGAAGGGAAAGGAGAACGATAATAAATTTGAAACGAAGAAAAAAAAAAAGCAGAGAAAACATTATAAACATCTTGTCTAGTGTGTGTGTGGTGTATGGTGGTGGTGGTGGTGCCTACCCATCACGAGAGTGAGAACAGCAAAAACGTGTAAAAGGAAAATAGAAAATCCCCAGACGTTTTTCATTTCATGGAAAATAAAGAATCCTCCAATATTTACGTGCAAAGCTTAAAATGGCTTTGTTCACAAACAGAACAAAAAATATGCAACAAAATTTTGTGGTGTCTAAAACAACAACAACCACGTGTATTGAATAACCAATTAGATTTTTTTGCCATTTCAAAATTTACAAGAAAACACCTTCAAAATTTTACTTTCGGATCCATGTTATTGTCAAGCATCAACACCAAAGACTTTAATACTTTTTTAAGTTTGGAAGAGAGAACGTAAACTCCAACAAAATTCCCTCCGCCTGTTTTTTTTTAGTCAAACTTTTCCAACTGTTACTTTGTTTCGGCAAACAACACCTTGAAGTAAAATGAAGTGTAATTTTTCGAATGATTTTTAGTACGTGACTCTTGTTTCAAATCCTGGATTTTCTGTGCGACACACTCAAATATGGAGAGTGGTACACAACAGTTTTCCCATTGTACCATGACATTGTAAAATAATTGATAATTTGGCATACTGAAAAGTGGATGGCGGAGAAATTGGTAGCAAGTAATGGATTCTCTTTAAAACAATTGGTAAATTTTAAAATTAAGAAGTTGGGAGACTACATATTGAGTTAAACATCAAAAATACAGAAAAAATTCAAGAAGAACACTTAAATCTAAGTTCGACCGGGCCGATCTTTGAATACCCTGTACCATTTGGAATGATTTTGGCAATTTTCAAAAAAAAAAAAAAAATAATAATAATAATAAAATAAAATAAAAACCAGTAATGAAAGTCCTAAAGTTGGGCGGGGCCGATTTTATGATACCCTACACCACTTGACTTATTTAGTTGAGCTCCACATAAAAATTAAAAGTTTTTATGGGAGAATTCAATCATACACGCTATGATTATAATTATAATTATAATTTAAAGTTCAAAGGACTAAATATGCCGAAGCATTTGTATCTTTTAAATTCGGACTTGTATTGCCCATTTGGTGCAAAATTAATTTGAAATCAGATAAAGTTATATATGGGAGTTATATCCAAATCTGAACCGATCTCGATAAAATTTGGCAAAGAGATTTCTGAGCTGTTTTTGATATATTTCCATGAATATCGTTGTTACGGAGTGCATATTACGGCTGTGCGTAACAAATACAACAAATCGGATTAACAATATATATGGGAGCTATAGCTATATCTGAACCGATTTCGATAAAATATGGCATACTTATTTTCAAGCCTAATTTAGTTGTATGTGCAAAATTCCATACTATTCGGGCTGTTATCACACGTTTGGTGCACAATAAAAGGCAAATCGGACGAAGATATATATGGGAGCCATATCTAAATTTTTACCGATTATCTCCAACTTAAATAGGGTTCGTCCTTGGGCCAAACAAATGTTGTTTGGAAAATTTCATCTCAATCGGATAATAAATGCGACCTGCATTTTGTTCACAAGAATACATGGACAGACGGACGGACGGACAGACGGATAAATCAACTCAGAAAGTGATTCTATGCAGATCATCAAAAGGAACTATGGGTTTATCTCGTTTCCTTTGCCTGGGTACAAAAAAAATAAAATCCGTTAAAAATTCTGTTAAAATCTTAAAAATACCGAATGTAGCCGATATATTATGGTCTATACGACGACGTGGTCCTGCATAGCCAACTTTTGTCATAAACCGTTACAATATTTAAATGCGAAGCTTGAATTGGTGGTGCACGAAGACGTGGACCTGCACAGACAATTTTCTGTCATAGGCTGTAGTACCCATTAAGAACTTCAAATACCAAAATGTGAAACATTTCCGTTGAATAAAGTCGCTTAAATTATCAAAATACCGAATATCTGGAGGTACCGTTTCACGAAAACGTGAACTTGCACAGATAAATTTCTGTCATAGGCTGTAGTACCTATTACGAACAAATACCAAATTTGAAACATTTCCGTTTAATAATGCCGCTAAAATCATCAAAATATCGAATGTCAGGAGGTACCGATATATGGGGGCTATACGAAGACGTGGACCTGCATCGACTATGTTCTGTTGTAGGCTGTAGCACCCATTACGAACTTCAAATACCAAATTGTAAATAATTCTGGTGCATAATATTCATCAATATTCCGAATATCGGGAAGTATCGTTATATTGGGGCTATATGAAGACGTGACCTGAAAAGACAATTTTCTATCGTAGGCTGTAGTATCCATTACGAACTTGAAATACCAAATTTGAAACAATTCCAGTGAATAATGTCGCTGAAATCATCAACATACCGAATTTCGGCAGGTAACGTTATATGGGGGCTATACGAAGACGTGGACCTGCACAAACAATTTTCTGTCGTAGGCTGAAGTACCCATTACGAACTTCAAATACCAAATTTTAAACATTTCCGATGAATAATGTCGCTAAAATCATCAAAATACCCAATAAAGTGAGGTACCGTCATATGGGGGCTATACCTTAACCTGAACCAGTTTCATTACCAAAAATCCTGCAGACCAAACACACATTTGAGTATAATGTTATCAATCTACTTCAATTCGTTCGGAAGCTAGATGGGTTTCCACAGACGGACGGGCATCTTAAAATCGATAGAATTTTATGTTGACCAAGAATATACAGGGTAATATAAAAAACCTGCAACAAAGTCAAACACCATGATTTTTACGTTTTTTTAATGTTATTGAATGAAAGCAAAACTTGTCGGAAATGGGAACAAATTTTAGAACAAGTTTAGATTTTTTGAATTTGTCAGCTCTGGCACGACTTATGGCCTTCAAACGGCCAATGAAATCGTCACACGCTGCTGAAATGTTGTACTGCGGTATTTTGGTCCATTCCCGGCGAAGCGCTTGCTTGAGGTGATCAATACTTTGGTATTTTTTAGTGCCAACCTTGCTTTCCAAAATACTCCAGACACAATTGTCCAACGGATTGGTATTCGGAGATTTTGGTGGCCACTGTGCGTTGGAAATGAAGCGAGAAACCTCGTTTTGTAACAATTCTTGGGTGGCGCGTGCTGAGTGCGATGATGTTGAGTTCTGTCCATGGTCTGCGGACAAAATGTTGGCGTGCCCACGGCTTTAATATACCCTCCAGAATATGTAGACGATAATATTCTGCATTTATACTGATGCCAGTCAATCAATACGAGCGGAGAGCGACCTTCGGCTGTTATGGCGGCCCACACCATCACCATGGCCGGCACTTGAGTACTGGTGGCCAACCGAAGGTACACATTTTCAGCTGGCCTCTTTGGCAAGTAAACACGATCATTTTGTTTGTTTACAAACTGCTGGACAACGAATGTTTTCCCATCGGAGAAAACCAACTCTTTAGCTCTTTTGAGTCTATTTTCTTTCTGTTTCGTTATAAGTTCTTGCACTTTTTGGAATTGCAATGGCTTTACCCCGAGCTCATTTTTCAATATTTACCGAATGAAATATTGCGATATGTTCAGCTCACGAGCCATAGAGTCATTCGGCCACTGCAAAGCGGGTTTCGATCAAGTCGCTTCTTTACTTTTCGAACCATTTCTGCTGATGTTGCTGTTTTCTTCCGTTCACTTCCTTGATGTCGAGCTATACTATAAGTATCACGGTTACGAGCAATGGTACGAGACATAAACGATTTATTTACATTTAAATTCTGGAGTGCTCTTAGGATAGCCAATTGTGGTTTTCCAGCCAAATGTAAAGAAATCACACTATCACGCTTGAATTCCATCACGAATAACTTTTTTTCTAGAAAATTCTTACCAAAAGGATTTTGTAGTCTTGTAAACAATATAATGAGCTGTCACTGGAATAATTTTAACAGCTGTCGGACGAGTGGCTTAGAAATGATAGCAGTCTGAAGTTGGTTGCAGTTTTATTTTATCCCACCCTGTTGTAAAATTTTATGACAACAAACTTTGTGGAGTATGTTGGCTTGCTTCAATCCCGTATAAAGGGAGTTTCACTCGTTTTATAAAAAAGGACCAAACGGACCCTTTTTGTCACGCTGGAGGGTTGAAATTTTTGACCAAAATATTCCTCGTATTTTTATCCGAAATATTGCCGAAGACCATATTTACAGGGTTGCCCATATTCGATGGACCTTTGGGCCCTTTGGGCCCATTCCAATCGACGAGGCTTGTCCGCAGGCAACATTCTTTGCGTCAATTGAATTTTGTACGGGAACAAATACAAATCAATGCGAACAATCCGTTGTAAAGTGGACCGAGCCATGCCCAACCGCTGAGAACGGCGTTTTTGGGATGTTCTTGGGGACCTCTCAACACTGGCTCGTAGGGCAACGATATTCTTGGCCGATCGCCTTGGTCGACTTTTATATGGCCTCTTCGGATTAGAAAGAGCCTTACCAGTCGAAAATGTTTCGTATAACCGCTTAATGGTGTTCTTAGAAGGCGCACTTCTCACATTTTTCAATGTTTTAAAAGCACGTTGAGTTTTCACAATTGACTTCTTATGTTGAATGTAATTTTCAACTATTTCAGAGTGCTCGCGTGGCGTGTATTGGTTCATGGTAAAAATCTGCTTGGACTGACGCTTCAAACGCGGTATGTCATTAAGCGATGTGACATCTCTGTCAAAAGTTATGACGTTGCCAGATGGGTCCGTCGAATATGGACAACCCTGTAATAAGGTTACTTTGCGATGTATACTTTCAAAACGCCGATACACGTGTCTTCTTATTTTAGCTCTACTTTCATAATATGCTGGACTTTCCCCGTAATTTTTCAAAAATTTTGAAATTTGTCGCAAAGTGTACTTTTTTCGGTATACAGTTAGATTACAATAAATATGGCCACCCTAAAAATCAAATAAAATAAAAATCTATATCTGGCATAATAAATGTCAATGAACAATTGTTTCGTATTTAATCTCCAGAATACACAGATTATGCTGTGGGCAATACAGCTTTGTATTTTCCACATCCCTAAGTGATGGGCTATCCACCACCACACCTAGGTCTACATATCTGACTGGTCATCGACATTGATGCATTGTATGGATGAGTGTTTTGGAACTATTTGACAGAACATTTGTCTTTTAAGAGGCCATAAAAATGACAATATCAACAATCCTTAGGTGCATCTTTCCACTTTTCGTCTCACTTTCATCCCCTCCCCCCCACCACTATGTCAAATAGACAAATGAATAAATCACCATTGAAAGGATATTTGTAGGTATGTATGTATGTGTGTGAAAGACAACCACCACAAGTTAAAAGTCATTAATCTATTACTTACACTCGACATCCAGTATTATACGCTTTGATACCGAAGGAGGTACACCGTTGGTGGCGATACAGAGATAGGCACCCATTTCGTTGCGACTCACTTTGGTCAGCGGCAGGACTTCACCGTCGTAGACCAAAACTGAGAACAGAAACAGCGGCAAATTTTGGCAATAAAATATTTGCATGGGTTATAACAAAGGATAAGGACCCAGAATGGTTGCACAGCAGATACAAAAACAGCGGCAAAAAAGAAATCCGACAATATACCGGACATTCATTGATGATAGTTTGCCAGGACAACAATTTTCATTCCGTTGTTCATGTAGTTTTTTGTATTGTGATGTTGCAGTATTTTCAACAACAACAAAAACCCAAGAAGAGCAGCATCAACAACAACAACAAAAACAACATGTAAATTGATGGCATATTGTGTTGTTTGAAGAAGAAGCAGAGGAATTTGTTTTTCGCAGGAGAGAGAGCCAAAAAAAAAAAACAGAGACATCCGTGGTGACGATGGTGATTTTGAGACGACGAGGCGATGTCATGCCATTGCATTGCCAAGGCATGGGGATGAATTGTGTGCATTGTTGTGTAATAGATTCATCCATCCAGCATGGCAGAAGTAGGTACCATATTCCATGCAAGAGATTACGGAGATTGTGTTTGTAGTAGTTACGTTTTTTTGGTACGCCATTGTTTAGGTTCAAAGGGACGATGTAGGTATGGTTATCAATTCCAACAGAGATTAAATAGACAGTTTAAGAGTCAACAAGAGAATCGGAAAAGAGACAAGAAAACAAAAAAAAACACAACCTAAGGTTAGAGGTTTCGTTCGGTTGTTGCAGGGATTATCGTTGAATTACCTTTCTTTTTCTTTTCGACTGCAATTTCTTCGCCATCTTCTCGCCGCCATATTATTTTTGGAGCCGGAAAGCCATCTGCCCTGCAAGTCATGTTGATATTTTGGTTTTCCCTTACGGCCACCGAGGATGGAGTGCTCTCAATGTCCAATATATTGGGTGGCACTGTAAACAATGGAGACACCCCAAAAAGGTAGGGAAATAAGAAGGAACTCTTCAAAAAAATATAGCGTAGAAGATACTTACCGACTACCTGCAGATAGCCCACTTGACTTATCATGGGATTTGTATTCACCTGGCACATGTAGTAGCCACGATCGTCCTGGTGCGCCTGGTTCACATGCAGCAGCCATGTGTTGGCATTGTCGTAGGTAATGCTGTAACGTGGTATCCTCGAAATAACATGGCGATGTATTGTCAAAATCATTTGTCTGTCAATATGTATCCAAGCAACCTGGCGGTGACAGTAAGAAAAAGAATGGAAGAAAAAGAAAATAAGCAAAACAAAAAAAAAAAAAAAAACACATTTCAATATGTTGCCAGACACAAAAGATGCTAAGGTAGGATAAAGAAAAAACAACTTCTTCTCCTCAATACCGGGAATGCAAATTGTCAAGTGAACATTAAACAAGAAACAAATATTCTACAAAGATATTTATATTGCCCTTATTCCCTCTTTGATACTGCGGTGTTGGAGAGGAGGGGGAGGGAAATCTTTGTCCTTTGTATTGTCGGATAGTTACGGATAAGAAAAAGAAAACTATTTCTTCTACTTTTGTTCGCCTCAAGGAGTTGCAAATGATAGCTAAACAAAAAGGAACTTCAACCAACGAAGTTAAAAGAGGACACCAAAAACAATATGGGAATACAAATGGAAATATTGTTAGAAATTTATTCTCTAATAATACCATGAGAAGTACTACAGTTCAGGTGAAGTGGTTTGTCGCAACAACCTGATAAGTAGTCAAGAGAAACTCCTCAAAGACATTAAAAGGTTAATGGCCAAAGACGACCACTTAACGGGGATATTAGAAGTAGTTACTAAAATATAACAAAAACTAGTAAAAAGCTATAAGTTCGGCCGAGCCGATGGAGGTACCAGAAAGAAAGGTCCGATGTATTCTGACTGCATACTAGATATTGCGTTGGTGGAAATGTTGGGATGTGCGAAATTTTAAGGCAATCGGACATTTTTAAATCCTTAGTCTTAAAATTGCAGAAGGTATACAACTTGTTGTGAGCTAAATATCCCTTCCCAAAATAAAAAATTTGAATCTCATTTCTTTTGGACGAAATTTGGATATTTGAAGTCCCTGCAGCTACGAACAACATTCTGTCTGGTGCGCGCAATAACTTTCAATTCTTCTTCTAGTACCAACAAAAAACAAAAATTTCCAAATTTCCAAAATTGCAAATAGTCCAACAATCCAAAGAAATATATCAATCCACGTTTTCTGATACATCCTCAACAAAATGTTTAACTATTTACAACATCATGATTTTTTTCGAACGAATTCTACGTTTTTATTTATACCCTCAGCCATGTGACTAGAAAGGGTATATACCATTTGATGTGGCTAAAATCTGCCTTATCGAAATAATTTTGAACCATATCCTTTTCAGAACATTTTGAGTCGATCTAGCGATGTCCGCCTGTCAGCCTGCTGGCTGGTGCGCACGATTACTTTCGAAGGGAGTATCTGATGTGGTCTAAACTTGGTATATCTTAATATCAATATTATCAAACTTAGATTGAGTTCGGAGATGGGCAAGATCGGTGCACTCCTTCTTGTACTTCATCCGATCAACCGATTTTGTTTAAACATAATGCACACCTATACATCACTCAGGATCACCAAATATCAAGAACAGCATTGGGCCTACATTTCAACTAAACATTATGGATAATATTAAGGCCTCTTTATGTCACAAATTGTAAACCGGGATCACTTAAAAGACGCAAAGTCTTTTCCGTTTGAGCGTTTATAAGACACTGAATCTATTTATTAAAAACATTTCTTAAGAACTAGTTATGATAATATGACCTAAATTATCATTAAGTGCAAATGAGAGAGAGAGAGAGAGAGAGAGAGAGAGAGAGAGAGATAGATACCAACTGTACATATGCATATGCACCATGCCACCATAAACCTTAGGGGGAGGTCATACACACGCATAGCTATCTCACATGTGTCAAGCAAACATTCTGCACTTGCTTATCAGTCTGAGTAAAGATTACATCCCATAATCTAACTCCACCATAACACATGCAGCAATTGAAAATTCTGTATTATTTATTTCTAACTCGAAGGTCCGCTCACCACATTTTCTTATCTTATTTAATGTGGACTGTATTAAGAAGATCCCTATTTAACAAATTTCTCTCATCTACACAAGGTAGCCCCGCTATTCTCTTTTATTATAAAAACATGTTCAATTATCCTTGAACACATATATAGAAAAAAAACATCTTCTTGCAGTTCTCTGCTACAGTTAACTTCGGCTTGGCGGAACTCTCTCTGCTTTTCAGCATTTTAAATATAAATCTATTGAAAACATGAGTAAAAATGCCGAAGTCCAGTATTTAAGCGGTAAATTTTATTTTTGAGGAACAAATGTTATTTATTTAGATCCGCACGTGTCAGAAAATATTTGTTGGGTTATATTTTCTGACAATTACGCTAATGTTATACAAATACCGATTATAAGGACCATTCACGATTATTTGATAATTTGATGAAGATTATTTTCTGTCTTTGCGGTACTTCTGGGGCCTATAAAAGAAAAAATAATAATTTTGTAGAATATTTTGACTTGGCAAATGTAGTTTTAGCCAAATTTCTATAAAAGAATCAAATGACTCGCTTGAAAGTTTAATCGTTCAACTAAATTAATCCTCCTGAATGTGGAGGGCAAGACAAGCACCACATGTCATAGAACCAGAGGAAAAAAATTAAATTGTTGTATCAGTCATTTCCTGGTTGTGTTATTTCGCGTTTTGGACACCAGAATTGGGTGCCTAGAGCATACGACTTAACACCTTTATTTATTTATTTTTTTTTTTTTGTGCGGTTTTTTGAATTTAATAGTTTGTCCGAATAAGCCGACTATGACTCAAGCCCCAACAGAAAAAATTAGACGATGCATTAATGAAATACTGCAGCATTTATCCAAAACGGTAATTGAAGATTTCATGAAAAGTTCGCGTATGTGCCCTGTAAAATTTAAAAATTGCACTCTTGTTGGGGCACTCTTTATAACAATAAATATATCCTGACGAGCTATTTGCATCTGTATCTTAGTTCAAATGATTATTTTAAATTTAATTATTAAACACATATCGGAGAGAAATATATATGAAAATGTCAATTAGACCTTAGGTCTCTTTGTACCAAATCCATTTCAGAACATTTTGAGTAGATCTAGTGCGAACAATAATTTTCAAGAGGAGTATCGGATTTCGCACATTGTAATATTTTTATCAAACTCAGATCGAGTTCAGAGAGAGATAAAATGGATCCACTACTTCTGGTACCACATCCACAAAAGATCTAAGTTTTCCAAGAAACTAATTTAACCCATAAAAAAATAAAGGATCGTGCGATTTGTTTCAAACATTGTACATCCTACTATTTATATCAGTGTTTCTTGTGATATCTCAAAATATATCTTTAAACACAAGTTCCGGTTCGAAGATGGGTCAGATCGGACCACTCATTCTGGTACATCTCCCACAACAAGTCAAAATATGGAATATTTTTACCAATTCTAGGGTTCCCCACAAAGGGTCAAAATTCAAATAATCACAAAGCAAAATGAGAATCCGATTCTTCGCAAACTGGTCACATCCAAATATTTTTACAAACACCAGATGTGGTGGGAATAAAAACACTATTTTTCAGAAAAATCGCTGTAATTTTTGTAAAAATTCAAATATCGAGATGTGGTAAATTTTGATAAGTTGTGCTCACATATTTTTCGTTCATACATAACGAATTTCTATCTTTACTCGTAACTCGCTAAAAAAAATAAAAAATGTATAATTTTTTAGTATGTGGAAATTTTGTGCTGAGTTTTGATCACCTAGCACAATTTTTTTTTTGTGTCTCTACTCGTTACTCGCCAAAATCTATATCGCATATTTAGAAACAAAATATTGAAGAACTTAAAGTTTTTCTAATTTGCGCTAGCCTAGCACACTTGGGTAATTTTTTTCTCATATAAGTTATTTTTAAAATATCTCCTGGGGAGAATGTCCCAGACAAAAAACAAGGAAACTTATGAGGATTGTGGCTCTTTCCGATACCTAGGTATTTCTTGCTATATCCCCTGGTAAACATTACCATATTTTCCACTAACAAAACAACAAACAATAACAACAATAATATTGGGATTAAGCCTAACTATTTTGCAACAACAAAATACAGCGTTATCCCGAACAAGCATGCCAGCACTGTTTTATCGTATTTTAAATATTATATCAAAAAAAGTCAAACGGGTGTAACATTTTTCGAAATTGTTAAGGACTTTGGGCACTAGTGGTAAAAAACTTAACTTTTCAGAATGATACCAATGGCCGACAGCTGTATATTTGAACATAAATTTAGGTAAGATTTCCAAACTTTGTAAATAATAGCTAAAGGAATTGTACTCATAGCTGTCATGTCGATCAAAGCAACTTTGGAACACTTAATATTGTCAATAGTGGTAAGGTAAAATTTTGTATTGGAGAAATTCAGAAGTAAAACATATTATTAGCCATGGTCGGATTTAAGTTATTTTTCACGGCTAGGTCCCGCACTTTCACTCTGCTTGGTCTATTGATTTGATATATTTGACGTGTTCCGCACTCTAAGAGCTTTGTTATGAACCAATTCAACGGCTTTTTACAACTTTACTCCCTGTGCTGTGTTTTCAAAAATTAAACATGTTTTTCCTGCTGTACTAATCTCTTCATTATGACTTGTAGTCTTCTAAAAACAAACCCTTGTAATATAATATATTACATATTAAAGTAGGTGTTGCAAAAAAATATTTAAAAATCCCTAATACCTTTTTCATTCAAAGTATACCGACCCCTTTTAATAGTTGCAATAACTCTTCTCATGTATAGATTTATTGCTTTGGGGTTTTAATGTTTCATTTGAAAACAAAACAAAAAAATAAATGTTCGTCTAGATGTATGTACGTATGTCTGTTGCCTTGTTTTACAATAAACAAATGATAGGATAATTCATTTTGATGACTGGCATATTGCAGAGGTCATTAAACTAACGTTTTGTAATTCATGCGAAAGTAGCCCTTTTTCCAGATGGATATTCATTCGGTGATGATGAAGGCATCTGTGGTGGGATGCTTAGCTGCTGCTTCTTCTTACCTTATAGCCGCCCAAATGCTCCACAACACAGGGTAAATTGGCATCACGTCCCACGGCCACTGTTACATTTGGTATTGGTTGGGCAAAGCGAGGTTCATTCATCATAACTGCAAAGAAATGAGTCAAACAGACAAAAATAAATAGAAAGGCTAAATATTATGGGAGTAGAGCAAAAGCAGAAGGGATAAAACAGTAAAGAGATGTAATTAATTTTAGAGATATGTAGGGGGTATGTGTGTGTGGTCAGTTTGTAGAAAACAAACACGTTCCGAATTATGTTCGAATTGAGAAATAAATTTTGGTCAAGAGAAGTCGCTGGCGTAATGAATATCCTAGTACTCAAGACATTGCAAATGTCATTCTAATTCTATGGAGATTGCCGAGATAAATGTGAACGGCCAAGGAAAAAATTTAATAAATATATTATTAATATAACAGAATTGAAATTGTAATTTTCAAATTGCAATAATGTAACTGGTTGTTAGTTGAAAAAAATGTGAAAGGATCTTGAAAAAAAAATATAAAAAACCTGCCACAGCTTGCGAAAAATATTTAAACAAATTAAATTGCCGGCAGATGCATACCCTCAGCCTATGTCGGTTTATAAAATATATTTTGGATCACATTCTGATTATTCAAAATGTTGACCCTTTATGGAGGAGACACTGATGGAGTGGACCAGTACTATACACTTCCTATCTGAAACCTTCACTTTATATGAGGCATGTTAAATTTTTTTGAAAATTCGGAAATATGCTTTAGTTACCAGAAAACTAGGACCAAAGGATTTCATTACATCTACTACTGACAAAAATATTTGGTTGGCAAAATTAGAAGAAAATCTGACACCTACGACCAATTTTTAGGAAATAATTGTTGATTATAATTTTATTCTCTTGTGGGGGAGTTGCGATAAGGAATGAGCCGATAAATTTCATATTAATATCAAATGTCTGGTTGATCGAAATATTTAGATTTACCACATTAGAATAGAATCGCTGACTTGTTTCGCAACTTAGGCAAGATATAAGTATTTAACATTTTGACCTTGTGGGGGAGGTACCAGAAGGGTTAGGCCGATATCAATCATTTTCACGCCAGGACTTGTATTATTAGAAATATTGGGATGTTCAAAAAGCATCGGAATAGGCATTTCATGCAAGATATAAATATTAAAATTTTGACCCATTGTGGGGAGGTACGGCAAAAGTGGTGCGATACTTATCTACACATCCGATATAGATCCATTTTCACACCAAATCGAGCATTTGTAACAAGTAACAAGGAATCAGTCGGTTTTGCCGACAGATGTACACCTTCAGCCAATGTTGGATTGTTTAAAAATATTTTGACTTCTGTAATGATTATACAAATTGTCACCCCCCTATGTAGTAGGTTCTGAAGGAAAGGGCCAATATCGCCAATATTTCGTATCGGACCTAAATAAATATGATATGAATATTACGATGTGCCAAGTCCGGAATATATTGGTTACTTCCCTCACTCTATATGTGATAATTTTTAGAAAATGTGGATATAGTCGACCGAAGTATTCCATTTCCATACTTCATCTAAAGCAGATCAAAATATTGGTATGGGCAAAATTACAAGAAAATCGAACATTAATAACCAATTTTATGCGAAATCATAAATTAAATATTCATTTCAGATTTATGGTTGAGAGAAATATTTGGATATAGCAAGTTGTAAAAAATCGTTGATTTGTTTCGCAAGTTATAACAGATAAAAGTATTGAAAATTACGACCCTTTGTGGTAGAGATACCAGAAGGGGTTCGCAGAAATACATAACATCTTCACAAGAGATTTTGTCTTAGCAATTATCATTGTATATGTGAAATTTGATGAGAGATGGATGCTTATTTCGCCTTCTTTGAGCGTTTTGTTTTTCAAAAACTTGAACGCTATGTGGGGTGTACCAGAAGAAATGGTTCGATCTCCGCCATCGTTATAACACATATTGTGTTGATGGAAATATTGAGATGTAGGAAGTCTGAAAGGAATCGGATGTTCATTTCTCGTTTTACGAGCTTTGTGGCTATTCTAAACTTTGGCCTGTTATGGGGCATGTATCAGAAGTTGTGCACCGATATATCCCATCCGATCTTGTGTTAGTAGAAATAATTGGGTGTGTGAAATTTGAAGAGAACGGTAGGTTATTTCGGATTTTATGGTCGTTTTGGTTATTCATATCATTGACCCCTTGTGTGTGAGGTACCAGATGAAATGGTCCGATATCTACCATCTTTATAACATATCTTGTGTTGATAGAAAAATTGAGATGTGTGTAATTTGAAGACAATGAGGCTCTTGTATCACCTTTTGGAATAGTTATACCTATTCAAAAATGGTACTTGATGGAATGGACCGATGTTGTCCATTTTCCCACCTGATATACAACTGATGCAAATACTAGGATTTGCAAAGTTGAAGCAAAATCGGACTATCTATTTTCTTTCTGCGCAGTAATTTATTGTTATTTATTTATTTATTTTATTTATTATTATTTTTTTTTTTTTTTTTTTTGAAGAAGAAGAAGTTGACCGATATTGCCCATTTTCGAACTCGATCTAAGCTTGACAATAATATGACGATGCATCAAATTTGGATCGGATCGTATATTCCGTTCGCACAGATAGACGGACGGACGGACATAGCTAGATTGACTAAAAATTTTCCCAAACAGATTTGATTCAAAAAGACTTATAATCTAAACTTTGTATTTCGATGAGCCCGATTGTGTTCGTATCAAACGATATATATTCTCTGTAGCCATATAGCTGGGGGTATAAAATTCAGGGGGTATAACAACAACAAAAAAATCTTTAAAATCAGAAAAAACAGGTTGTCCAAGGATTTTTCGAGAAAATATTCTTAAAATATGTGGTATATGGTTATTTTGAAATACTCGAAATAAAAAAAATTCGAAGACTTTGTTCAGAAAACAAAATAATAATAATAATAAATAAATAAAGATCATAATTTTTAAAATTTGTTTAAGATTTTTTATTTCTTTATCTATTATTATTATTATTATTATTATTATTATTATTATTATTATTATTATTATTATTATTATTATTATATTATTATTATTATTATTATTATTATTATTATATTATTATTATTATTATTATTATTATTATTATTATTATTATTATTATTATTATTATTATTATTATTATTATTATTATTATTATTATTATTATTATTATTATTATTATTATTATTATTATTATTATTATTATTATTATTATTATTGTTATTATATTATTATTATTATTATTATTATTATTATAACACCATCTAATGTTGACAAAAATATGGAATCAAATCAGGTACTCTCTTTAAAAGTTGTCTTGCGCACCAGATAAAAGGTTGGAAAGGCGGTCATAGCTGCAGGGACTTCAATGTCCAAAATCACATCGCACAATAATGAGATATACAACTTTCACTTCGAGAAGGCACATTCTGCTCATATCGAATTGTATACCCTCTGGAGGTATACGGCTTAGGATTTAAAAATGCCTTTCAGCGTACATTTCTTTAAAAACTCTCATTACCTAATAATTTGACAGAACCGCTCTATAACGCCCATACCCCTTACTTTGTAATGATGAAAATCACTTCCTTTGCTTTGTGATTTTTTTGAAGAATAAGCCGTTATTTCAATGTAACGGTAATGTTGAAGATATTTTGATTACATTCCATTGTAATGGGTTACTTTGCTCGTTGATAGCCACATCTATGTCTGCCTATTAATCGTGGCTCAATCGTGCTCCTATTGCCTCAATATTGCAATTAAACCTTTCTCTTAACTTGCTTTTCAAATAAAATATTAAGATTTCAATCTCACTGGAAAATTCTTTGGCATATTTTCCAACTTAAATTATTGTAATTAATTTCACTGCAAAATGTGAATCGATTTGAAAGCAAAAAAAAAATTCAATACCATTTTAGTCCATTCAATGGCAGTGCAGAGTCGGGTGGCGGCATACCCACTTATAACCGCATGTTGATCAATTTGTTATTCTCACTGGGATTGTGAAAACCTTGAATACGAAAACCCCCCCCCCCCAAAAAAAAAAAAAAAAACAAAACGAAAAATACCCTTCACAAAACATCAGCCTGAATTCTCCATGGTGCTAAACTAAAACAACAGAATATAAAGCAAACCCCACTCCTCTTAACAGCCATTTTCCTCTCTCACCCCTGCTCCATCACAATACATTTCCATTTTGCAAAGTAACACCAAACGAATGGAAACAACACTGAAATCCCACATTGTGGATAAATTTGTCTGTGGCAAAACCACAAATCACCAATTAAATATTTATACTTCAATCTACTCAGTGAGTATCGAAAAATATAAAGGAATTTGTAATAAAAAAAACTGAAACTGTACACAACAACAACACTCACGTTCGCACCAAACCGCAACAGAATTCGGTTGTTGTTATTTTGCTGCTTCTTATTTTTTCTTATTTTCAGTTTCAGTTTTATTACTTCTATTTTTTAAAGAAAAAAAAAAGATGTTAACTCATCAGATGTTATGGTGCTGGAAGGCAGCAACAGCATACATATGTGTTGGCTTAGGTTCTCCCACATATGCAAGTATATATACATACATATAATATTGGAAATTTGTGTCTTACGGTGGGTAGAATTTAAAAGATTATTTCACTTCTTTGGTGGCCTTGTTAGGAGAAATATTTTCAGGGCCGCATACAAGAAAAATTAGGTAAAACTAAATTTATTTATCTTGCAAGTAGAGGTTACCTTTGTGAAGAGTGCAGTTTTAGGAAATAAATGTGACTTTTCATGATATAAAATATTATCATATGTTCGAAATAAAAAAGGCAGATTTTTTACTGAAATTTCCAAACAACTGCAAATCCATTCTAGATGTCTTCCATAGACAAAGAAATACCCAGCTATTTAACATGAAGAAGAGATTTTCAATAGGCAGAAAGATAGCCGTAGAGATGTCTGATATAGTTTGCCTTTTACCTCTTGTTTAGACTGGAGTTATTTCAGTTTTGGTAACAAATAAATAAAATTAAGAGGATTTAAAAAAATATCATAAGTAGAAGAATTCGATGGATCTCCGGTATATAAAGGAGTCTACATATAATTTTTAAATACATAGATCTTAAATTGATTGAATAAGTTGAAATTAGATTTCTAAGCGAAACTCCAGGGAGTTTTCACAGAAGATCCTTCAAGGGCATATCAGGAGTAAAGGAGACTTTAAGGCCCCACCTATCCTAGGGAAACACTATAAAAATAGTTTTAATAACTTTTCTTTAAACAGAAGGGACTGTAGTTAGAAATAGAGTTGTGCCAATCTAGTTCGGTCGTTTGTACCAAAACTTTGCGTATGAGTGATATAAATATACGAAATCTATGAAATCACTCATACGTTTAGGTGTACTGAACTGGATTGACACAACTCTGGATAGAAGAGAATTTAATACACAATCTAGTGTAGAAGAATCGTTTGAAACATATATATTTGTTTATTTAACAATTCTATGACGGTTTACACATGACCGTACATGGCAAACCCTCTAATATTTATAGCGATTAACTTGAAGACTTATATGTATAATATCTGTAATAATTATGAGTTTCAAAACTAGTATCGACCGATGTAAGGTATTCCTAACTCAGGACTTTCAATACTCTATTAAAATTATGTGCTGCCGCAAATGTGGAACTTCAAACTTCTCAAAACTAATTTTTGTAGTACCTCCTTACACAAGGCGGATCACAATCTAATTTCCAAAAAACAGCCGTTGAAAAAGGTGTTCCTTTTTATGAAATCCGTTTTAGGTCCTTTGAAATTGAATAAACTACATTTATGCTGGCAGGTGGGTGCTTAAGATAAATTTTGAATATAGAACAAGTAAAGAAGCAGCAGCAGGACCGGCCGAACTTTTAATACCCTCCACCATTTGGAAGGAACTTGAAAATTTAAAAAATGTCGCTAAAATCATAAAAATATTGAATATCGGGAGGTACCGTTATATGGGGGCTATACGAAGACGTGGACCTGCATACGAAATTTTTTCCATAGTTTGTAGTACCCATTAGAATCTTCCAAAACGAAAATTGAAACGATTTCGGTGAATAATGTTGCTGATGATTGTCTTAGAATTTCGCGCTGATACAGAATATATATAATTCGTAGGGTCTATTATGAAAATTTCGAAGAGTTACAAACGGAGTAACAAAGCTAATGTACTCTCCATAGAATGGTGGAGGGTATAATAAGTATGTTATTTAGTTGCTACAAAGTATGTGCATGTTAATATTTCGATTGAGGACAATATTTTTTTTTAAACTTTTGGTATTTTCCCCACAAATGGTCGACATTTTGAGTAAAATTGCCAATCGGGTAAATTAATATTTGTACAGAATTGACACATTTTGGAAAACTAGAAAGTTAAGGTGGAATTGGAATTCATTCACATCAAACCACCGTTTCTTGTATCTTCCCTACAATAGCTGACAGGTGAATCAAATGTGATCAAATCTGAGAGATAGGGGACTGCAATTTGATCCTTTTTCCAAAAATCATGAGTATAAGCCAAGGTTATTTTTTATAACATTATAGCAAAAGAAGGATATATATGATTGGATATGACTTCAATTTCTAGTACATTCTCCACCAATTTTTAAAAGTTTGAAAAAAATCGAAAAGGAGAAGAAACTATACAATTTGTCAGAAACTTCGCATAACATTATTCGCATCCCCAGCCCCCACCTACCAGTGAAAAAGCCACCAATACATCCAATAAATTCACGATTTTGTGCGGTTTATTATTATTTATGAATACCAGAGAACCTTTTATTTTCCTTTCAGGGACAGTTCATTAATTTTATAAAAGGTGTAGAGAAACCGTAATTGTACAAAAAGTACTAAAATGTACTACATTTGGTACCATTTTGTATCATTTGAACGGTTACAGCTAAAAACTTGAAAATTGGTATTGGAATCAATGTTGAGAAGTGTGGTCGACGAAAGAGGTGGTTTTGAAAGTGTGTACTAATGTATACGAAAAGTACAAAGTACAAATTTGGTATAATTTAAATTTGTGGAGAATCGTTAGAGTTGAAATTCTGAAATTTGGAAATATGATTGCAATTACATTGCACAATCGGGTATGAAGTAAATTTTGGAAATTCTAACTTATGTGTTTTAAATGGAACCAAATTTGGTACAATTTAAACTTTGGGAGAACCGGTAGAGTTGGAATCCTGAAATTTGGAAATGCGATTTCTATGACACATTTTTACATCAAATTAGAAGGAAATATATATTTTATATATTTTGGGAGATATATGCGAATCAAAACCGATCCTGAAAAAAAACTTAGAAAAGGTATTTTTAGGATGTACCCAATATCCTGTACGGATGTACGGGTTTGGGTTACTAAGATATAAAATCGGATGAAACATATTAATGGGACATATAGCTATACCTGAAGAGAAACACACTTCATTCTAGGCTAAATTTAGTAGTCTCTGCCAAAATTCATCCCATCTAGGCTAATATTACACATTTGGCGCCCAATGTACTTGAAATCGGACGGAAATATATATGTGGGACCTATATTCAAATCTGAACCCATCTCAGTAACATTTGGTAGAGTTATTTCTAAGCTGTATCTGGTGCCAAATGTCTTCGTTGTGGAGTGCATATTACGAATGTGGGGCACTAAAACACCAAATCGTATGAAACATATGTATGAGAGCTATAGCCATATCTCAGCTAATTTTCGCCATATTTTACATAAAATTTTTGTATCACGAATTTGTGTATAATTTATAATTTATCTGCTAAAAGTTATACACAATCGAACAATAAATGCATCCTGTATTTGCTTCAAAAAATACATGGCCAGACAGACGGACATGGGTAAATCGATTCAGACTGTATTTCTATGAAGATAATAAAAAGGAACTATGGGTCTATATCGTTTCCTTATCTTTTCAAGTAAAGCAGGTAAAAAAGCTGTAAGTTCGGCCGGGCCGAACTTTGAATTCGTTTTAGACATACCGAATGTAGCCGTTACATCACGGTCAATACGACGACATGGACCTGGATAGGTAACTTTTGTCATAAGCCATTACAATATTCAAATGCGAAACTTAAAAAAAACCGGTGAATAATTATGTCTTAGGCTTTAGCATTCATTGCGAACTTCAAATGTAAAATTTGAAACAATTCCGGTAAATATGACGCTAAAATCCACAGAATACCGAATATCGGGAGGTACCGTTATATGGGGGGCTATACGAAGACGTGGACCTACATGGCTCATTTTCTGTCTTAGGATGTAGTATCCATTACGAACTTCAAATACCAAAATTGAAACAATTCCGGTAAATAATGTCGCTAAAATCATCAAAATACCGAATATCGCGGGGTACCGTTATATGGGGGCTATACGAAGACGTGGACCTACATGGCAAATTTTCAATACCAATAGTCCTGCAGACATAATACACATTTAAGTAAATTTTTATCAACCTACTTCATTTCGTTCGGAAGTTATTGTGATTTCCCCAGACGGGCAGACCGACAGACGGACGGACATTTACAAATCGACATAGAATTTTATGCTGATCAAGGATATATATACTTTATGGGGTCTAAAATGTATATTTCGAGGTGTTACAAACGGAATGACAAACTTATGTGAGGGTATAACTAGTACTCACCATGTGTTACGAGATTTGTCAGGTAGATCAGGAACATCACCTTGCGATTGGTGAAGCGACTTGGAAATATGTTCAGTGCGATGAGCAGCACTTTGATAACTGTCATTAGGAATATCATTTTGTTGTGGTTTTTTGTTGTTGCTGCTGCTACGGCTCTTATTATATTCTCTCAGTTCAGTCCTTCTTAAAATGTAACTATGCTGGCGGTGGGATTTAAGTTTGATTAAATATCTCTTCTCGGTTAATTGCAAAACGAAAACGCAATCGGAAACTCCATTCGCATCGATGGTATTTAAGCCAAATTAAATGAAGTGAATGTGTTATTTAAACACTTGTTTTCGTTCTCGCTTCTTTCGTTTTCGGAATTATTTCGTTGTATTGAAACTGCATTAAAATCTCACTGGGGGGGATCCAGTTTGGTTGCCCGGTAGCAGAGATATTTATTTATTTATTAGGGTTTTTTTTCAGTTTTTATCTTTTATTGGGTTTCTCTGAAAAGTTCGGTTCGTTTGTTGCGGAAGTAAAATGATTGAAAATCGTTGCAACTGACATCCATCAGGGAATGGTTGGCTGGCTGGCTGGCGTTGACAAGTGCATAACAAATTCAGGTCGTAGTGGTAGTTGTGGTTGCTTGCCGCTCCTCGATGAATTGTCCTTCCAGAGAGTATTGTTAGGTAGACCGTAAATTCCAAATGTTCAGACAAAATTTAAATATTCAATTCGATTTTTTTTCTGGGTTCTTTGTTTCTGTTATTCTTTAGTTGATGATGCTGGGATGTTGTTTTTGTTGGACATCATTGTTGTGCCAGAATTTCGGATGTTGCCACAAACATACCTGTGAATGTGTGTGTGTGCGACAGCAACTGGGAAGTAAATGGAAGTTTATTGTTGATGTTGCCACTGCTCCAGCTTCTGAATCAGCATCAATTTTCCGAATGATTTATGATTGTGCATGCGACACAACTTCCTGCTGCTCCTTGTTGCTGTTGTTTTTTCGTTCATTATTTACACAAAATACTACCAGTGTCGGCAAGGAGTCGGGAGTGCACATTCCTCAATGGATAGTAGCCGTTTTACATTCACCTGCATCAGTTGAATTGAGTTGAGTTTTTTTCTCCCCGTTTTTTTTGGAGAGAAACAAAAAAGTTTCACTTGAATATTTCTCTGTATGATTTTTCATTTATGACATACTCCTGGATTCAGTTTTGTTGCCGCTTGCTGTTGCAATGCACAATGTCCTGACACGGCTTATGTGCTGCTGACATGCTGTTAAGGCAACACTTGCAGGTTTACAGACCGGGTTTTCAACTTTCATATATCACATTCAACGCTCGAATACCCGCCATCTGCTGTGCGAACTTTGCCATGCAAAATCTGTTTACAGCAAGGCTAGAGAAGAGAGTGGGAGAGAGAGAGAGAGAAGAAAAGAGAAGGGGTAAAATGTGTGCAAAATGAGATATATTCATAATTTAAAATGTACAACATTATCTAAAGTAAAATGTATATTTAATGGAAAAATTGTTCACTATTTTGACATTTGAAGTTGAAACTCAATGTGATGTGATTTGGAGGTATTATTTTTTTTTTTTTCTATTTCAGAACATTTTGTTGTGAGGGGGGTTTGGTTCTAGCATCTGACATGAAAATCCGATATGAAAAATTATCACAAATCACTCTTGTATGTTATGTAAGTATGCAAGTTTATTTGTGTGTATGAGTTTATAGTTTCAAAAATAAAAACCTAATATTTTGGTTAAATAAATGAACAAAAGTTGGGAGTGATATTGCAAGACAGGACCGACCATGTGTCACCAGACATCACAACAGCTAAGAAAGGTGTAAAAGTTTTTGCTATAACAGTTTTATTCAACCACCAACAAAAATGTCTTTGGTAGGATAAGTACCAGGAGCAATAATTTTTGGTCTGTTATAGAACAGCAAGAATGTAAAAATGTTCACTACGATAACCGATTTTCCCTTTATGATATTGAATAAAATTGCAAGTCTTGCCGGTACTGAAACAAAGCATTTATGTTGGTGAGGAAATAAGTGTTAGCCTAAATGACAATTCCTCATGAAACATCCATGGTACAATAAAAGAAATAAGGTAGAGCTCCCAGCTGATTACAATTTTATTCTATTTTTCGACTTCTGCCTATTTTGTGTATGTATTTATTATTTTGAAAAATGAAAAAATATTTCAAAAAAAAAAAAAAAAATGATTGGAAGACACGTACATTGCGGCTCGCGCTTTAAAGCTATAACCCAGCTTAGCTATGAAATTAAAAGATTGAACAGTTTGGATCATAATTTTGAGAGAAAATCCAGGCATTTCATTCCCTTTTTCGCGTTATTTAACTCATTTTAGAAATGAAGAAAAAAAATTAAAAAAAGGTGAAAACAAAATGTTGTATAAATTTTTGAATGAGTCTGACAGGAAGCGGGCATAGCTTCTGTAATTCTACGAAGCTGTCCTACCTCCTTATTTTACCATGCCCATATCTACTGCGTACGTGAAGCAAATGTTGAACCTAATTGCTCCTCTTTTCGAAAACAAAATTTTCCAAGGACATACGATCTCTAAAAAAATCAATATTTGATGAAGCAGATGTTCCTACAAAGCCAAAAACCTGATTCACGTTCACAAATTTTCCATGCAATTTCAATATTCTATTTTCATTTCTGAAATAACGTCGCATAGTCCTGTCGAACTTTTATCTTGGTTTTAATCAAAACCACGAGATCATGCAAATCTTCGTAGCATTTGCTCTATATTTACATCCTATGTCGTGTTAATGGGTATTCAAGACAATATTTGAAATTAAGATTCCTTTACATAATTTTGCGTATTTCAGATTTTTGGCTACATTTGTGTACGAAAGCAGCATCAAGGTAAAGATCAAAGGTGTGCCTTTTATGTATATGTTATTTTATTTTATTTCGGCATTTTTTCACACATTTCACCAGGTAAATAGTATCCCAAGATTATCCAAAATGATAGGCTTCAGTGCTGTCCTAAACTATAGCTTCATAAAAAATATCACGTCCATTGTTTCTTAATTGAGAAATGAAGGGCGACTACAAAATATAAACAATTTTTAAGTGTTTGGTCCATTTTAAATCCTGATCCTAAACTTACCCCCATGCAAAATTTCGTGAAGATTGGACGATAATTGCGACCTGAGGATATTATACACATAGTGTTGTAAGGTAAAACCAGTAATAAGAAGATCAACCAAGAATGGTTACCAAATGAGGTTCCTCGCTTCATTTCCAGCGCAAAATGGCCACCGAAATCTCCGGATACCAATCCGTTGTACTATTGTGTCTGGAGTTTTTTGTAAGGCAAGGTTGGTAAAAAATACCAAAGTGTCGATCACATCAAGCAAGCGCTTCGCCGTGGAATGGACCAAAATACCGCAGAGCAACATTCGGGCAGCGTGTGACGGTTTCATTGGCCGTTTAAAGGCTATAATTCGTGACAAAGGTGACCGAACAAATCTAAACTTATTCTAAAATTTGATGCTATATTTGTTTTCATTCAATTTACTTTAAATAAAAATGTAAAAATTATGGCGTTTGACCTTGTTACAGTTTTTTTAATCAACCTGTATATGGAAGTTAAATAGAAATCTGAGCACATCTTGATAACATTTGAGAGATATATTTCTGAGTTGTATGATATATTTGGTACCAATTATCATTTTCTCGGAGTGCATTTGCGAATGTGAAGGAACTTAATAACAAAATTAAATGAACTAAAGTTTTATCTGAAAATTTGGTGTACTTGGTTCTAGGCTGAATTCGGTTCGATGCTTCGCAGTACGTTCTTTCTTACACATGTGGCGCACATTAAAATCGGACGAAAATATATTTGAGAGCTATATCTAAATCTGAACTACCACAACTTCGAGATATACAAAATGTTTCTTTCTTAGAAAACTTCCGTGTGAACTGCTGAACGTCTTTAAGATCGAAAAACACAGTTTTTTTGGTATATTTTATTTTATTTTGTGATAATTTCTAAAAACTATACATGCTTCTATTATGAATCTATTCCAGACTCGCGAGAATACTAATAGCGACAACGTGAAAAGACAGACTGATACACATGGCTACATCGGTTCAGCTCGTCGAGATGTACACAGTATGGTACGACCTGGACCAATATTTCAAGGTGGGACTAAATAAAATAAACCCTCGCCATACAGTAGTGAACGGAATAAATATGTGAGGCCAAAATCAATTATATCTATTTATACCTTCAGCCACATGGCTACAGAGGGTTTTAGATCCTAGGTCTCTTTTGACTAAATCCGTTTCAGGACATTTGGAGTCCCTCTGACTGGCTGATGCGCACGATAACTTTTGAAGGGAATATCTGATTCCGTCCAAGTTCGGAGATGGGCAATATCAGTCCACCCCTTCTGGGTCCTCCCCCACAAAAGCCCAACATCTTCATAGAAGGAGAAGGGATCATTCGATTTTGTGCAAACTTTGCAAATAACTATATTTTTGTCGATACTAAGTTGGTGCGAAAAATGGACACTATCGGCCCATTCCATCAATAGCATCCGCCACAAAGTGTCAACATTTTGAAAAGTGAAATAAGAGTCTTTTTGTCTTAAAATTTCACACATCGCAATATCTTTTTAACACAATATCAGGTGTGAAGATGGACTATATCGGACCACACCTTCCGGTACCACCCCCACAACGGTTCACAAATTTGACTAACAATGAAGCTCATTAAACGCGAAATGAGCATCCAATTCCTTTCGCACTTGCCACTAATACATTCAAATTAGTCCTACGATAATAAAAATTAAACTCAAACAAGTAAAAACACTGTAAGTTCGACCGGGCCAAAAATTGAATACCCTCAACCATTTGGAACGAAATCTGGCAATTCTCAAAAAAATTTCAAAAGTACAGAAAGTAACTGTTATATAGTGTCAGTACGACGACATGGACCTGCATAGGTAACATTTGTCATAAGCCATTACAATATTCAATGCGAATCTTATACCGAATATCGAGAGGTACCGTTATATGGAGCTATACGAAGACGTGGACCTGCACACACCATTTCCTGTCATAGGCTGCAGCGTCTATTTCGAATATAAAACATTAAAGTTGAAAGAATTCCGGTGAGTAATGTCGCTAAAATCAACCGAATATCCGGAGGTACCGTTATATGGTGATTATACGAAGACGCGGACCTGCGTGGCACATTTTCAATACCAAAAGTCCTGCAGACATAACATACATTTGAGTAAAATTTTATCAATCTAGTTAAATTCGTTCGATACCTAAATCGACATAGAATTTTATGCTGATCAGGAATATATATACTATGTGGGGTCTAAGATGTATATTATTACAAACGGAACGACAAACTTAATGTACCCTCCATACTATGATGGAGGGTATAAAAAGTACAGGTTTTACTTTTAAGAATTTAAGACCTCAAGTTCTTCCCACTGTACTTCTCTTAGT